AGTCTGAGGCCGGATTTGAACTCAGGTCCTCCTGACTTCAGGGCCGGTGCTCTATCCACTGCTGCCACCTAGCTGTCCCTGGAATGCCCCCTCTCTTCACCTCTGCCTCCTGGGTATACCAACTTCCTTCAAGACTCAGCTCAAAGCCTTGTCCACTAAGATCACCTATCATACTGTGTATATTTAGCAGGCACAGTTATTTTCATATCATCTCCCTCATTAGAATGTAGATTCCCTGAGGGCAGGGACTGTGTTTTTGCCTTTATATGCATACCTAGCACTTAGCATCATGACCAGCACATAGTAAACACGTAAGAAATGTTTGTTGACTGAGTAAATGTGTGACTGTGGGTGAGCCACTTAACCTCTCCCTGCCTCAGCATCCTTCCTGTGGGATAACAGCAACACTGACCTCACAGGATTGTTGTAAGGATCAGACGAGTGCTAAATAAATGTTAGCTATGGCACCTGAGCTTCTTCCTCCTTGCCCTGGGGTATTGGGTGGCCTCGGTGGATAGGGAGGGAAAGTTGCCACCACCCCCTTCCTCCTCTCCCAGTTATGGGCAGGAAGAAGATCTGCTCTATCTAAGGCACAGCTTCACTCACTCTAATGGGTCAGGTTGAAGGTCAGACCCAACCCATGAGTAGAGGTTTCTAGTCCTCAGCTGCCTTATCCACAGCATAAGAAGGCTGGACTAGGTAACCTCTAAAGTCTCTTCCAGTTTTGACACTCTGCGATTGAATGACTTGGGGAAAGCCCATGGAGGCAAGGGGAGAAACTCAAGGGGAAAGGTCTTGCCTCAAGAGTCTTTTCATTCAGTCTGTTATTTTCCATTAGTGGCTTCTGGCCTCTTGCCACCACCCCCTACCCCTCCAGGGAGAACAAAACCATTCCTCCCACCAGCTCCTGGCCCCTGGAAAGTGTTTTTGTTTTCTTTTCTGACAACATTATCTGTATCTCTGAGTCACCAGTACCTTAAAGTCACCCTCATGGGCTGAATACAGGGGCTGAAAGAAGGGCGCGGGGTTGGGTACTAGCACCCACATCTTCTTCCACAGCCTGAAACGTCAGAGAGAGAAACAGACAAAACAAAACAACAAAACAAAACAAAACCAGGGTCAGGGGTGTTAGAGGATGGGGTGGGTCCGTGGCCACTGGCAGGTTGGTTAACTCAGTTCTACCCAGCCCTGTTCCCACAGAAGGACTGGTCGGGGTACCCAGATCCATCTTTACTCCAAGAGAATGTTCAGCTGAGCTCTGTACACAAAAAGGGATTGGCTCGAGCCTCCTCGCCTCCACAGAGGATTGGCCAGCCCACCTAACAGTTTGGATCAGCTCGACCGCTCCGTCACAGAGGGATTGGCCAGCCTAGATTTACTCCCCGAGCGGGTTGGCTTAGCCCAGCTGCCTCTAACTCCCCTAATAGGATGGATCAGCCTTGGCCAGTCCAGCCTCACTCCCGCAGAAGCCCAACCATATCCAGTCTCACCAGCCCCAAGGAAGTGACTAGCTCTACCCTCCAGGATCAAAGTAGTCTGCATATTTCAGGTCTCTCCAAAAAAGCATACAAATTGCTCTTCTCTGACACATCTGGTTGTAATTTACATTATACTTGCATGGACTTAACGTGTGACTTGCTTACTATCCATTCAATATCTTTCTTAATTGAAAAAAATCAAATCCCCAGGAGCTAATGATCCCTCTGCTGGCCTATCCCGGTTCATTTACAGGGACACAGGCGAGTGGCCTTTGCCAGCCCCTTCAGTACGTTCATCTTTCAAATGGAAATGAACCTTGTCTAGACCCATAGAGTGATAAAGAAGGGACCTTAGAGATTCTTCCTTTTCCAACCCACTTATATCACACCGAGAGAAACTGAGGCCCAAGGAAGGGAAGAAGTTTTTCTCAAAGTTAATGGAAGAACCTGGACCAGATTCTAGGATCAAATGAGGTAACATTTCTAAAAAGTGCCTAGCACTGGGCCTGGCACTTGGTAAGCACTATATAAATTCTTACTCTCTACCACCCCCCATGCCCTTTTCAATTAAATTCCAACAAACATTTATTAAGTGTCTACTTTGTGCAAAGCCCTTGAATATACTGCCTCCCCAATTCTGCCTCAGGATCCCTAGCTTCCTTCAAAGTTCAACACAAGTACCTACCTCCTACAGGAAGCCTCCCCTGGACCTCCTTGTTGCTGGTGTCATTCCCTTCCCTCGATTCCTTTATTTCTATTTTTTATCTCTTTGTATTTCTTTTTCTCTCTTCCACTAAAACCTCCCCTCCTTCCTCTTCCCATGTAAGCTCCTTGAGGGAAAAGATTATTTTGGTTTTTTGTATCCTCAGCACCTAACACAGTGCCTGGCACGTAGTAGGTGCTTACTTAATAAGTTCTCTTTGCATGAATAAAAGTATCTTTTGGAAACTATAGAGCATGATACAGATGTTACACACCCTGTTACTGATTTTATTAAATTCCCTCTAAGGTGCCTTCAGCTCTAACATTCTCCTCTCTATTCCACTGTTTTCTATTGCACATTTCAAACAAAATGTCTTGGAGATATCTAGAACTCAATGTGCTCATCTTTACCTCCAAACCCTCCTCTTTTCCAAACATTCTTCCCACCTTTCTTCTGGCCCCCCAGCTTTATATCTTTGGTGTTATGCTCAACATCTCACTTTCCTTCCCCCCACATTTCCAATCAGTTGCCAAATCTGGATGTTTCATACCTCTTCTATCTGACCTCTTTCCTCTACTCGTTCAGCTACCACCCAAGTTCAGGCCCCTCCTTCCCATTGGCTCCCCTCCTTGTCTCTTCCAACTTGAATCCACCATCCAAAGGGATTGATTTCCCTTAAGCACAGATCTGACCATGCCGCTCCTCTCTCTATTCAAAGCCTCTATACTGCCTCTAGAATCAAATATAATTTCCCCTGTTTATCTTTTAAAGCCCTTCACGACATTGTCTGGTCAACTTTCCATCCTCATTGGACATTATTCCTTGTCATGAGCTCTGCAATCCAGCCAAATTGGCCTTCTCTGTGCTCCTCACACACTCCCTCTCATCTCCAGGCCTTTGCATTGACTCTACCACATTCCTGAAATGCACTCCCTCATCTCATCTCACAGAATCCCTCTTCCTTCAAGAAGCAGGTCAAGCATTCCCTTCTCCAGGAAGTCTTTCCTGATACCTCCAACTGCTGGTTCCTTCCCTCCCATACTACCTTGTTTTTATTTACTTGTATTTATTCTGTATATACCTATCTTTGTCATTGTTGTCTCTCCCATCCAAACATGAACTTCTTGCAAGTAGAGATTGTTTCACTGACATTTGTGTCCCCAGGGCCTAAGACTGTGCCTGATATAGTAGGTCTTTAGTAAATGCTTATTGATCCACTAATGTAGGGTTGGTTTATGCTAGCTCTTTCCCAATCTCCTGTCCCCCATCCCACCCACATCCTTCCAAGGGACCCAGGTTTTCTCACCTCTGTGTCAGTTTCCATCCAGCCAGAGAAGCAAGTATGGCCACGATGAAGGAGATGGATAATACCCAAGAGGACCATTCTGTTTTCTCTTCTTCTTCATGGGGAACAAAGTAAAAATGGATCAGAATTCAAGGCCTTCCCCTGAACTCAGGAAAGCGGATGGTGTGGAGGAATGGGGAGAAGGTTGGCCAAGAAGAATGATGGGAAAAAGTAATGGGAAAGGAAAATGAAGGCACAGAGGAGGGAGGAATGGGAACAGAGGTCTTTTACTACCCAGGGGTCCTCTCAGTTAGACCATACTAAGTTTTGTCTTCTGGGTATGCCCTCCACCTGCTAGCCCATGGTATCTATTCCTGGTTTCAGTACAGTCAGGACTAGGAAAATGTTCTTGACTGAATCGACAATCAGCTTACTTACTCATTCACTCATAAGCTGACTGGTTGGCTGGCTGAGTAAGTGACAGACTAATGGACTGATTAATCAATCAGCTGACTGGCTGACTGATGGATTGACTGACAGTGAATAACTGATTGAGTGACGGGCTGGCTGGCTGATTGAGTAAGTGAGTGAGTGAATGAGTGAGTGAGGCTGACTAAGGAACTGATAGTTGTCTGACAATATGACTGACTGGCTAGCTAACACTGATTATAAATGACTGACTTAGTGGTTGAATTCGTTACTGGCTGCCTGGCAGCCTTAACCAGTGATTGACAGATAACAATCTGAGTGAATGACAGATTGACTGACTGACTACCTGGATGCCTGATCAGCTGATGGACTGGGGTCCAAACAATTAGAAGCATACTTAAAGAGTCTTGGGGTTTCTGAACTCAGAAAATTTGGCCCAGGAAGCCTAAGGTCAGGATGATGGTCCAGAAGATAGTGCTTCTGGCCAGGGGAGAGCGGCTCCAATGGCTTCATACTCACCCTCTGGCTGGGTCCTGAAGGAGGCGGAAGGACTCCACTCGCTCCAGACCCCACTGTAGAGTGAAGATGGCTGGGGCTGAGCTCGAACTTGTATTTCGTAAACTGAGCCCTTCTGAAATTCCAAGGACAGGAGTGACACTGACTTCAAGTCGGCTGGGATGAACTTGGCCTTCTGAGTCTGCCAAAACATGCAAGTAGAATTATCGGACTGAAATAGATCCCGAGAACTCATCCAATCCAGCTCCCTCCCCTGGCAAAGGTGCTGCTCATATTGAAACACACCTGGTTTATCTCTGAAGGTATCTGAGGGTAGAGAACATGCAGGTTCTTCCTCCTTCACACTCAGAGGTAATGTAATATAGTAGATAGAGCATTGACCTCAAAACCAGGAAGACCTGGGTTCAAGTTACCTCACCTCTTATAAGTACTGGCTATGTGACCCTGAACTTTTTAGAGTTGCTCTGGACAGCTCTTGAAGACTAAAGTTGTAGAGAAAGTGGATACATTGGTAGAGTAGGAATTTCCTCACTAGGAATTTCTCTATATCAATGAAGTCACAGGTTAAGTTCCTATCCTTCATATTTCCTTTACTGGCATAGAGAAAGAGCTGTTGGCTGGAGTCAGGATTGCTGGGTTCTAGTCCTGACTCTGCTACTGCCATGACATTTCAGGTAAGCCACTTTCCCATACACTGTACCTACCTACTTTCCCCATGAGACTGGGGCTTGCCATTGAAGAACATCCACTAGTTAATTACCTTTGGAAGGTGTAACCAAATGTAAGAACAAGCTAATAATCTTCCAGAGTAAACCAAGCGTTTTGGAAATCCCCACTTCCTGACAAAACAGTTCCTTTCCCTTCTTAAGGCACTTAATTAATTCTTGTTGACTGATTAATTGTTCAAAAATCTTCAGTGGATCCCTATTGCCTCTAGAATCAATACAGTCTCCTCAGTCTGGCATTTGAAGTCCTCTGTAATAGGGCTCCCACCTATCTTTCCAGACTATTTCATCTTACCTCCCTTGACACACTGCCCCTACATTCCAACCAAACTGATGCGATAACTGATCCCCAAATTTGACATTCCATCTCTCACGTCGATGCCTTTGCACAGACTGGAATAAATTCCCTCCTCACGTACATGCACCTCTCACAATCCTTAACTTCCCTCAAGGCTCACCTCAGATGCCACCTCCTATTCAAAGCCTTTCTTGATCCTTCTAATTGTTGGTACCTTCTCACTCCTCAAATTATCTTGTATTGACTTTTTTTTGTGTACACAGGATATCTCCCGGTAGAATGCACTCTCCTTGAGGGCAGGAACTGTTTCATTTTTGTCTTTATGTCCCCAGAGACTAGCCCAGTACTTAATAAATGCATGTTGAAGTGCATTGAATCCTAAGGCTCCTAGATTTGACATTCTAGAGTCTGTGACAAGACAATCACCACTCTCTCTGGAAGACTTCTTACCTTCCAGGAGTCTTCTTGTTTTTTGTAGCGCAGCTCATATTGTAACTTGTTCTGTAATGCGTAGTAACGGGGATCTTCATAGTGGGTTTTCCAGGAAATGTTGTAATCTCCAAAATAGGCCACGGTCACATTGAAAGGAGGATTTGGCTTAACTGGGAAGAAAGAAATGTATATGCATAGATAGATGGAAAACACTTAGTGACTTCAATTCAATTCAACATGTGCCAGGCACCATGATGGGTAGATACTGGCAATAGAAATGCAAAAAGGACCTGCCTTTAAGGAGGTTACCACCTGCGGGGGAACAAACAACATATACATATAAATGAGTACAAAATATATATAAAACAAATGTAAGGTAATTTCAGGGAGGTGTTAGGGAGAGAATAGAACCAGAGGAGTCCGGAAAGACTTCTTACAGGAGGGAGCACTTAAGGTGATACTTGAAGGGATTTAGATATTCCAACAGACAGAAGTGAGGAGGGAAAGGACCTCAGGAATGGGGGTCAGCCACAACATACATGCATGGGAGCAGAAGATGGAACATTACATATGAGGAACACCAAGTGTGCAAGTTTGACCGGCCCATAGAAAGTGCTGGGATGTGTAATTAGCCTGGAAAGATGGGGGGAAAGCAAGATTCTGAATGACTTTAAATGCCAAACAGAAGAATGAACTGAAGGGATATCCTACTCATGCCTCCAAAAAAATTTGTGGAACTAGTTCTTGTAATTCACCTTAACCTTTCTGGTCTCAGTTATCCCTTCTGAAAAATGAGGGGATTGGACAAAATGATCTCTGAAGCCTCTTCCAGCACTGAGAGGGGTGTCTGGCACATAGTAGGTACTTAATAAATGTTCAGCGACTGATTGACTAACCTTGCAGTTCTGAGGGTAGAGGTTGATGACTTTGGTCTCCTTTGCCTATCTTTTATGTTGGCTCAAATTCATCTTCATGCTGAGTCAACAAGGATTTCGGGAATATAGTAAGTGGGTTATGTAGCCTAGTTTCCACAAGTGCCTGTTGCGCATAGCCCCTGAAATGGCTTTCGAGAGAGAACGGCACCCTCATAAGGAGATAAATAGGAGTTTTGGAATGTCTAACCCTGTCAGAAAAGTTGTCTAGGACGATAGACTGAAATTCATCCTCAGACACAAAGAATTAAAAGACTTAATCTCAGCCTGAGAGTCTTGTTTTTCAGTCCCTTAGCTGGGCATGGTGGTTCATAGTCCTGGCTATGGCTCAAGAGATGTTAGGCTGTCTTTTTCAGGTAAAGGCTTGGTCATCACTGATGCCCCTTTCAGATGACACTCAGAAACTGTTAGCACAAAGGAACTTAGTGACTATGTGCCTGGTACAGATACCCAACAGCAACCAGCAGAACAATACCAGCAGAGATGGCATAATCGGTAGCAACCACAAAATTATCACAATGACACCCCACAGAGAGCTAAGTGAAGCCATCACCAGAGGACATCATTAGTCCTACAGTGTCAAAAGTCAGAGTTGCACTGCCCCCACAAGCATTCCCTATGTGTGTGCCTTCCAGTGTGTTTTTGCTAAACGGTTTCCTTGTATGTGTTTCTTCATCCATGCTCTTATCAATGGTTCCCTAGAAGTCTACCCTCTGTACCATCTCAGATGAAGGGTTTTCCTTTTGTGTGTGTTTGCTCTACCTCACTAGGAGCATAGCAATGTGTGGGAGGATGTACCCACATGTGCACATTCAGGTAATCTTTTATCATTTTATTGGCTATGCTGTTTGAATAAATATCTTTTGTTTGCACTAATGTATCTTCTGGCTGGTTGGTAAAAGAAAACACATTGATAGGGGCTCAGGAGTTATGGTTTTGAGTGGGTGTTGATTCTCAAAATGCCATAAATGGGGGCAAAAGGGAATACATGTGTGAAAGGTGATGCTCTAGGGCAAGGACGGGGAACCAATGGCCTTGAGGCCAATTTGTTCTGTGAAGTTTGGATTCAGTCAAAGGGCCGAACTTGAGGACCTTGAGGGCCACATGTGGCCTCAAGGACGCAGGTTTCCCATCCCTGCAGGGTTACAGTAGAGTGTTAGAGATGGAAAGGACCTTAGAACTTACCAACAAGAATGGTGGAACTGGAAAAGACCTTAGAAAATAGAATGCTAGAATAACAGTTCTCAAAGTATGGTTGGCGGACCTCTGGATGTCCCCAAGATCCTTTCATGTTGTAATGCAAGGTCAAATATTAAGATGTGATTTGCCTATTAAAACACTCCTACCTTTTCCAACTACATATCTTTGTGAGGCCACATTTTCTTCATATTTCAACCAAGACAACATAGAGCAACAGATTGAATGCAGAAGTACATATGAGAATCCAGTTGTCTTCTATCAAGCTAGACATTTAAGTAATTTGTGAAAATATGTAAAAAAAAATGCTATCCTTCTCAACAAATTTCTTTTGTTTTAAAAATATAGCTATTTTTCATAAAAACATGTTATTTATGTTAACTTTAGTGGGTTTATTATTATTTTTAAAGAATAAATATAAAATGTATCAGTTTTAATTTCTAATACAGTAAATATCAATAACTATAACTCATGTAAACAAAAACTCTTTGGGGTCTCCAAAAATTTTTTAGATTGTAAAAGGGCCAAAAATTTGAGAACTGCTGTATTAGAATAAAATATTAGATCTGGCAGGAAACTTAAAGATTTTCTAAACTAATACCTTCGTGTACAAATGAGGAAATTGAAACCCAAAGAACAAAAGCATCTCACCCCAGGAAGGACCCATACAATTATCTCACAGATTTTAAGCTCTAGATGCTTGGGATCCATACTTTTGAACCGTGTCTCTTATTACTTGCCTTCACAATCTATCCACGTATCATATGCCTCCACCACACTGAACAACTCACAGCCTATTCCCTGCTACACTCCCTATGTTTTCCCGTCCCCATTCCTTGACTCACATTTATCGCTATAACTGAAAATCACAAATCTATTGTGAAATATTGGAAAAGTTCGTCCAGATGTTCATAAGTTGGGTTTACTCACATTGAAGGACACCAGTCAGTATGATAACACGCATCTGCTTTATTTTTGTGAGCCTAAGAACAGAAGGAGCTGGAGGCTTTTAGCATACTACAAATAATTTCCGGCTCTGGTCTCCTGGCCCCAGCCTCCTTACCCGTGATTTTGGTAAGGGGCGGGGGTGGGGTCACAGAGCGGGGGAAGAATGAGGACAGAGAGAAAAAAAAAAGAAATAAAAGAAACAAGATTCAGAAACTTCAAAACCACAGGACCCAGATTAGAGGCCTAGGTAACAAAACCCAAATGCAAAGCAGACTCCCCTGTGACTGGCACTTTCCTTTACCTGTCTCATGGGTCTTTCACCCTGCGGAGAAGCTGTAGTGTTGGCGTCCTTATCCTCCCTCTCTCTGGACTCTCGACCCCCAAATGCTGACACCTGACTGGTATGCGAATATCCCTGTGTGTGGGGCCTGGCCCAGGCAGACGATAGGTTCCAATAATGAAGGGACCTTTTCCTGTTTCTTAACTTAGTTTTCATAGTGCTTTACATGTGAAAATGTGAAAGTGTCTTCCAGAGGTAGTTGATAAGTTTATAGACAAGGAAACAGAGTCAGAGGATTCCTAAGCCTTAGAGTGGGAAGAAACTTTACCAATCATCTGGACCAAGCACCCTCAATTTTACGGAAGAGAAAATGGAGACCCAAAGAGGGAAAGGGAATCCCCAAATCAAGGGCACATTCACACCTGGTCCTCAGTCTTCAAATCCAGGGTTCTTTGCATAACACCCTGGTTGCCTCCCATGTGAGGCACATATTGCTACCAGACTGATCCTTCTGGCACACAAAATTATTTACGTCCCTCTTATGCTCAACAATCTTCCGTGGCTCCCCCTGTATCCTGAATAAAAGTCACATTTCTTTGCCAGACATTCAAGGGCCAGAGTAACCTGGCCCCATACTACCTTTTAAACTCTATCTCATTTTACTTTCCTTCACGTGCTACATATAGACCATAGACATACTGGGTAACTTGCAGCCCTCTGCATATAGAGATGGGAAGGGAAAGGGAACTGGCATTTCCATAGCATCTACTATGTGCCAGGCATAGTAGTAAGCAAGTACTTTTTATAAATATCTCATTTGATCCTCACAACAAACCTGTGAGATGTTTTGATCACCATTTTACAGTTGGGGAAACTGAGGCAAAGATTAAGGGACTTGTCCAGGATCACATGGCTATAAAGTGCATGAGAATGAATTCGAGCTCAGGTCTTACTGATTTCAGGCCCAGCACTCAATCCAATGCACGATTTCTATATGCCATGTGTTTTTCCATCACCATGCCTTCCTGCATACTGTTCTCTAAACCAGGAATATCATCCTTTCTCCTATTTGCTTGAAGAATTCCTACCTGTCTCATAAATCCCAACTGAAAAGCTTCCTCTTCTCAAGTATGCTCAAATACTCCCTTGTCAGTAATAACCTTCCCACTCAAAATCTTCACAAAGGACTTGGTTATAATTCCCAAAAGTGCTTTTCTTGTAATAGTGTAGCTTAGCTGTCTCTGTTATCTTACATTCCTATTAAACCCTAACTTTCATGAGGGCGGTGACTATATGTACAACATTTAGACTCAGTGTTTAGCATAGCGCTCTGTACACAGTAGGCACTTTATCATTTAAGAGAATGAATGAATGCAAAAGCACAGCTGGAATTTCAAACCCAGGTGTTCAAATCTATTTCTCCATCTTTACCTTTTAAATCATAGAAGACAGAAGGAAGGAGTCTTCTAAAGAATAAAAGATTAGAAGTAGAAGAGATGTTAGGACATAGAATGTATAGTTAGAGCTAGAAGGAGCCTTAGAAATTGTCTAGGCCCACCCCTTCTTTTTACAGAGTAGGAAACTGAGGCCTGGAGCGGGGAAAAAGTCTTGTCATAAGTCACAACTACTTAATGGATTTCTAGTCCTCTCTTTGGGATAAAGGAGAGGTTCCTAACCTTTTTGGGGGGTATCTTGGATCCCTCTGACAGTCTAGTGAAACCTATGGTCAGGTTCTCATGATAATATCTTCAAATAATTGATGGAAATAATAAATTTCAGTTAGAGGCTGATGCACATAAATATTTATTTTTCCTATCCAAAGTTCTTGGACCCCTTGAAATCTATTTATTTACTTACTTTACAGATCCCAGGCTAAGAACTCCCAGATTAGGGCAATTTATCTCCAACAAACCCAGATTCAAATGCAGATTCCCTTGTGAAGAAGAGAGGTATCTATGGCTCATAGATTTAGAGAGCTGGATGGGATTTCAGAGGTTATTTTAGTCTAATCCCATCACTTTGGAGATAAGGAAAATGAGGTCACACAAGTAGTATATATTGGGGCACAGGCAGGATTTGAACTCGGGTCTTCTGATTCCAAGTCCAGGGCTCTTTGCACTGCATCACTCTAATCAGGGCACCCAGTGTTCTTGGAAGTGTTGTCTTTCTCCTTATTTTTCAGTTCTGCCCCCAGGACTCTTCCCCTCCAGCCATGGGCCCAGCAGAATAAATCTGTCTTCTATTTGGACACCTTTCAAACATATGAAGACCGTGTTTCTTGTTTGTGCTAAATACCCCCAGTTCTATCCACTGATCCTTATGTGGCCTGCACTCAAAGCCTTTCACCAAAGCCTTTCTGGGTAATCTCCAATTTATGGAGAATTTATGAGATAGGGCAGAGCTAGGCTATAGGCCGCCTCTCCTTCTGCTGACAAAATCTCATGGAAGGGCCATTTGATTTGGTTTTAAATCCTGACCATGCCACTTTCTACCTATGTTACTTAGGGCTAGCCATTTATCAAAGTCTCAATTTCTGTTTGTAAAATGAGGGGATTGGATTAGCTAGATGGTCCCTAAGGTTCCTTCCAGCTCTAAATCGACGAGCCCTTGAGGGGGAAGTGGGGGAAGGTAACAAGCATTATTATGTGGCAGGCACTGTGTTGAGTGCTTTACAAATATTATCTCATTTGATCCTCATAACAACCCTAGAGGTAGGCGCTATTATCTCTATTTTACAGTTGAGGAAATTGAGGCATGTTAAGTGTCTCGCCCAGGGTCACACAGCTAGTAAATTTTGGACAAAGATCTATCCTCTGAGCGGCCCCATGAAGTAGTTAACACAAATATTCCTATTCTCATTTGATTGATGAGGTGCAGAGGTAGACTGACTCGTTCAAAATCTTCTATCTAGTAAGCAGCAGAAGATAAGGGTCGGAGTCTCGATTCTACCACCTGCTAACTGCGTGATCTTGGGCAAGTCACTTAACTCTGAAACTTGGTTTCATCCTCTGGAAAACAGGGAGAAGAAGACCTATATTAGCTAATTCATGGTTTTTTTCTGAGGATCAAATAACATAATGGATAGGAAAGTGCTTTACCAACAGTAAGATGTGTAGATAAGTTATTATTTGTGGTAATATGGATTGCTGTCTTGGGATTAGCTGGATATCAGCTCAAAGCTGATGTCAAGGTCCCAAAGGGATGGGACACAGGACAGGTCAGTTTTGATAGGACATTAGGAGTCGGGCAAAGGAAGGTTCGGTAAATAGTGCACCATCCAGAGAGGACATGGCAAGGAGGAGATTGGGAGGTGTAGGGTAATGGAAAACACTCAAGACAATAGCAAAGGAGGAGACAGAGAGAGAGAGAGAGAGAGAGAGAGAGAGAGAGAGAGAGAGAGAGAGAGA